TGGGGTTGTGGCTCAGTGGTAGAGTGCTTGCCTAGCATGTGCAAGGCCCTGGGTTCAATCCTCAGCACCACATATAAATAGAGGTATTGTATGCAACCACAACTAAAAAATAAATAGATATTAAAAAAACTCAGTGAAAATCAAGCACAATAAGTATGAATAAGATTTCACTAAGGCACATAATAATAAAACTGCTTAAAACAAGTAATAAAGACAAAAAATCAAAAAAGCTGTAGAGAAATAAAAGAATGATAGCAGACTTCTTGTTGGAAATATTTCAAGGCAGAAGACAGTTGAAATTACATCTTTAAAGTATAAAATGAAAAAACAAAACAAAAAACAAAATATCCACCATCTTTCCTACCCCCATTCCCCCTTCCCTCCCCATTCCCCCTTTGCCCTATCTAAAGTTCATCTATTTCTTCCATGACTATCCCCCATCCCCATTATGAATCAATATCCTTATATCAGAGAAGACATTTGGCATTTGGTTTTTGGGATTGGCTTTCTTCACTTAGCATGATATTCTCCAACTCCATCCACTTACCTGCAAATGCCATGATTTTATTCTCTTTTGATGCTGAGTAATATTTCATGGTGTATATATACCACATTTTCTTTATCCATTGTCTACTGAAGGGCATCTAGGTTGGATCCACAATTTAGCTATTGTGAATTGTGCTGCTATAAATATCGATGTGGTTGTGTCTCCATAGCATATCATTTTTAAGTCCTTTGGGTTATAAGGAGGAGCAGGATAGCTGGGTCAAATGGTGGTTCCATTCCCAGTTTTCCAAGGAATCTCCATACTGCTTTCCAAATATGTTGTACCAATTTGCAGTCTCACCAGCTACGTAAGAGTGTGCCTTTTTCAACACATCCTCGTCAACATTTATTGTTGTTTGTTTTCTTAATAGCTGCCATTCTGACTGGAGTGAGATGAAATCTTAGAGTTCTTTTGATTTGCATTTCTCTAATTGCTAGAGATATTGAACATTTTTTCATATATTTGTTGATTGATTATATATCCTCTTCTGAGAAGTGTCTGTTCAATTCCTTGGCCCATTTATTGACTGGATTATTTGTGTGTGTGTGTGTGTGTGTTAAGATTTTTGAGTTCTTTATATATCATAGAGATTAATGCTCTATCTGATTGTGTGTGGTAAAAATTTACTCCCATTCTGTAGGCTCTCTATTAACCTCACTGTTATTTCTTCTGCTGAGAAGAAGCTATTGAGTTTGAATCCATCCCATTTATTGGTTCTTGATTTTAATTCTTGTGCTATAGGAGTCTTATTAAGAAGTAAGGGCCTAATCCAACATGATGGAGATGAGGGCCTACTTTTTCTTCTATTAGGTGCAGTGTCGCTGGTTTAATTCCTAGGTCCTTGATCCACTTTGAGTTAAGTTTTGTACATGGTGAGAGATAGGGGTTTAATTTCATTTTGTTGCATATGGATTTCCAGTTTCCCTAGCACCTAAGAGGCTATCTTTTCACCAATATATGTTTTTGGCACCTTTGTCTAATATAAGTTAACTGTACTTATGTGGGTTTGTCTCTGTATCCTCTATTCTGGTCTACGAGTCTATTTTGGTGCCAATACCAGCTCTGTAGTATAGTTTAAGGTCTGGTATAGTGATGCCACCTGCTTCACTCTTCTTGCTAAGGATTGCTTTAGCTATTCTGGGTCTCTTATTTTTCCAGATAAACTTCATGACTGCTTTTTCTATTTCTATAAGGAATGTCATTGGGATTTTGATTGGAATTGCATTAAATCTGTATAGTGCTTTTGGTAGTATGATCATTTTGACAACATTAATTTTGCCTATCCAAGAACAAGGGAGATCTCTCCATCTTCTAAGATCTTCTTTAATTTCTTTCTTTAGCATTCTGTAGTTTTCACTGTACAGATATTTCACTTCTTTCGTTAAGTATTTTATTTATTTATTTATTTTTTTTGAGGCTATTGTAAATGGGGTAGTTTTCCTTGTTTCCCTTTCAGAGGATTTGTCACTTATACATAGAAATGCCTTTGATTTATGGGTGTTGATTTTATATCCTGCTCCCTTGCCAAATTCATTCACTAGTTCTAGAAGTTTTCTGGTGGAATTCTTTGAGTCTTCTATGTATAAAATCATATCATGGGCAAATAGTGCTAATTTGAGTTCTTCTTTTCCTATCCATATCCCTTTAATTCCTTTCATTTGTCTAACTTGGAGTACAGGTTTTACAAAACCACTGGTCCTGTTTCACTTACAGCTTGGATGTTATCAACTGTGTGATCTTGTATTTTCCATGCCTCAGTTTCCTTACACATAAAATAGAGATTAAAAAAAAATCTGCCTTGTATAAATGCTGAAAACTCTATGGACCTCCAATTTGTCCATTTTGTCAAAATTTTAAATGCATTTCCCCTTTGATCCAACAGTTCCACTTCTGAAATTTTTTCCTATCTACAACATGCCCTTTGTTCTTTAACAACTATTTGGAGGCATGGTTGTTCTAATGCCACACAATTCACCAGTTAAAGTGTACAACTTAACAACTTTTAATTTATTCTCAGAGTTGTGCAACTTTTATCACAATCTATTTTAAAATATTTTCATCTCCCACCCCCAGATTCCATATTCATTAGAATCACTATCATTTTCTACCAATTTTCTCAGCACTAGACAAGCACTGGTCTACTCTCTGTATAGATTTGCTTATTCTGGACATTTCATATAAATGGAATTGCACCATATGCCTTTTATCTAGCAAGATGCTTTCTAAGTTCATCTATATTGTAGCATGTGTCAGTACTTCATCACTTTGGAGGGCTGAGTAACAGTCCATTGTATGACAGTGCTACATACTTACCCATTCATCAGTTGATAACATTTGGATTATTTCTATTTCTTGGCTATTATGAATAATGTTGCTCTGAACATTCAGATATACATCTTTATGTGGATCTATTTTTGTTTCTCTTACATATACACCTATGAGCAGAATTTCTGGACCACATGATAATTCACATTTAACATTTTGAAGAATTTCCAAATATTTTCCAAATTGGCTGCCACCACCATTTTACATTCCCACTAGCAATATATTAGAGTTCTAATCTCTCCACATTCTCACTAAATTGTTATTTGCTAAATGTTTGTGTCCCTTCAAAATTCATACATTGAAGCTCTATGCAACTATGTTTAGAGACTAGGCTTGAGAAGAAGTGATAAAGGTCCTTATTCATGATAGCTAAAACATGCGTTCCAAGTGTCAATTGACAGATGAATAGATAAAACTGTGGTATATATACTTATGATAGGACATTATTCAGCCTTAAAAAGGAAGGAAACCTTGTCACATGTAATATGCATGAATCTTGAGGACATTGTGCTAAGTGAAATAAGATAGTCACGAAAGACAATGTATGACTCTACTCATGTGAAGTTCTTAGAGTAGTCAAAATTATAAAGACAAAACATAGATGGTGGTTGTCAGGGCTTGGGAAAAGAAGGAAATGAGGAGTTATTGTTTAATAGGTACAGAGTTTCCGTTTTACAAGATGAAAGAATTATGGAGATGGATATCAATGATGGTTACACAACATTATGACTGTATTTAACTCTACTGAACTATATGCTTAAAGTGGTTTTGATGGTAAATTTTATGTTGTATTTACCACAATAAAATATTTGGAAAAAATAATAAAAAATTGGAAAACAATTTTTATACTCACATTCATATATGTAATAAAATTATAAAAACATGCAATTTCAGGTTAGTGGTTAAACCAAGGAGAGGAAGTGGGAAGGGATGAGGGTACTAGGCTTCAGCTGTGCTTTTAGCATTTTATTTCCTACAATGAAATAAAGTTGGCAAAATTTACACCTTTGTTAAATCAAATGAATGGGTTATATGGAGGTCAATTATATTTGTCTTTACTTTTCCATATTCCTAAAATATTTCATAAAATTAAATTAGAATGATTTTAAAAAGAAGAAGAAAAGGAGAAAGAAATAAACATAAGTTCTCTCTCTCTCCACGTGCAAATAAGGAAAAGGTCATCTGAGTTCTTCATGAAATGCATATGTCTACAAGCCAGGAAGAGAGCCCTCACCAGAAAGCATATCAGTCAGCACCTTGAACTGGGACTCATAGCCTAGAGAACTGTGAGCAATAAATGTCTATTGTTTAAGCAACCCAGTCTGTGGTATTTCGTTATAGCAGCCTGGGGAGACGAAGACATTGACACTGTCTTTTTGATCATATTTCTCCAAGTGGGTTTGAAGTGGTATCTCATTGTGGTTGATTTGCATTTCCATAACAACTAGTGATAGTGACAATCTTTTCATTTGCTTATCAGCCATTTGTTTATCTTCTTCAGAGGAATGTCTGTTCAAATATTTGTCCAGCTTATTAATTGGGTAAACTTTTTTTTAAAAAAATTAAGCTTATGTATACTTTTGTACTCCTATGAAATGATATATGCAAAGCTCATTCATTGTAGCCTTGTTTATAAAAATGCATCCATACAATGGAATACTATGCACTAGTAAGAAAGAAAGTACAAAGTCACAAAGTACTTTCTAGAAAGTACCTGAGAATATATTGCTAAATAAAAATAAGCAAGGTCTAGAACAGTAGATAGTCTTACTTTTTTTTTTCAGAAGAGAGAGAAAAAAGAATATATATATTATTTGCTATGTTTTCCTTAAGAACCAATGGAAGAATTCACAAGAAATTTTTTAAACTGATTACCCAAGTGGTGGGAGTGGGTTGACAGGAACAGGATAAAACTGGGACTTTTCATTGCATCACTCTGTGCATTATTTTGATGTTTGAACCACTTAAATATGGTTGCCCAAACACAAAACATTTAAATATGAAAAAAGCTTGAATTCTAGGTGAGACGACTGGCCCTTTGTGGATGCTTCCTCTTGGTGCATCTTTCCATGCATTGACTTGTCCTGTTATTATCCCCTTGGTACAGCAGAGAGGTTCAGTGACTTACCCAAGATCTTTCTGTTCCCTGAAGATAGATGTCATGGCCACACCAAGTTCCAGGCTTGCATCATTCTGGACTCCAGAGGAAAGAGAAGCATCTTCTTCTCACCAGCATTCACAGATGAAAAATCTTATGGGAGGACTCTGATTAGCTCTTCTCGAGTCACGTGCTCGTCCCTGTGTTAAGATGCAGCAACGGCAATTTACCATCAGAACCACAGGGGTGGAGGTTTCAAAAGGAGGAAAATACCACTACGAAAGGGGAGTAGTAACAGAGTACAGGTCAAAAATCCATCCCAGTGGGGAAGGCAGGTGACAATTCTTAGAGTGTGGCATATGCCACGATGTGGATCAGCACAGTGTGCTGTCTGTAGGAGCCCAGAGGAGGCAATGGTCCAGTCAGGAAGGCTTCTTGGAGGCGGTGAGGCTATGGAGATGAGTTTTAGGAGATGAGTAGGAGGTCTTCTATGGAAGGGGAAGAGCTGTGCCTGGCTGCAGGCGGTGAGAACAGCGGCGTGAGCAATGACCCAACAAGGAAGGAAGCATATGGGCTACATTATGTCCCCCCAAATTTATATGTCGAAGCCCTAACCCCCAGGACCTCAGAATGTGATTGTACATAAAGAGATAATTAAGTTACAATGTGACCCCAAAGAACAGGCCCTCATCCAATCTGACTCATATCCTTATAAAAAGAAATGCAGACTCACAAGAGACACCAGCACTGTGTGCAGGGGGGAGACCAGGTGAGGACACAATGAGGAGGTGGCAACCCGCAAGCCAGAGAAGATTCAGAGTCCAGCTCAGACCCTTCAGGCCCTCGCCACCTTCATCATGAAAATTCTTAGTCTCTCCACGTGTGGTTTGCAGAGTGAGGACCAGGCCAAACAATGCAGACATTTCCTAGAGTCTGTCCCACATTTGCCAAGGAACAAGGATTGGTTGAGCACCTCCTGTGTGCCAGGACCTGTTCTGAGAATACCCGGGAGAAAGGAAGAAATGGGCAGCCCTGGTTCCCAGGAAGGGGACAGCCCATCCCCAAGGCTAAGGGCAGTGAGGTGGCCCAGAAACCAGGGCATAGCCCTCCTTCCTCCACCAGAGTCCACATGGGAAGGGCTTTGAGGCTGCTCCCCAGTCTGAAGCCTGGCTCAGACCCCCCAGGGCAGCACTATCAGGATGGGGGTGAGGGAATACTCTGCCAGAGTCTTCCAGCTGCGACCCCCTACTACCTGTTCTTCTGGGCCCCATCTCTCACCCTTTCACACACTGTCACACTCATTAAATGAGATAATCTAAGTAAAGCACTTAGCATCCTGCTTGGCTACAGCGAGCACTTGATAAATGTGAGCTTGCAGCCACCCCTCCCACTCCACACAGTCTGTCTGTACCCACTGCATACGTCAGCCCTGGCGGTCACTCTGACACCGGAATACCACTCCCTGACATACCTGTCCGCACTCCAGTTTGCAGGGACTCTCAAGCACACACTCACAGGGGACCTCACTCATACCATGCCCCATTATTTTCCATCTGCAAACACCCGTGGCAAATCCTCGGGGACAAAAGGCCAGGCGACAGGGACAGGGCAGTGGGAAAAGCTTGCTATCCACGAGTCAGCCCTGCCACAGAGGCCTGAATCTGGCGAAGCCCATGAAAGGGAGCCACAGTGATGCCCCCAGCCCACTCATAGGGCTGATGAGAAGGCACCAGCCTGGGACAAGCCTCCAACAGAGAGGGTGGGGTGAGGTGTCCTGAGACTCTACAGAACTGAACCAAGCTAGGAGCAGGGCTCTGCAAGGGTTATCCTGACCCACAAAGCCTTCCCGCCTCAGGTCAAAACCAGGACCCTAATCCTGAGTGGTTTAAAACTGACTAAAGAATGGGAGGGATAGAGGGAAGGGATCAAGGACTTTGCCTCCTTCGAAATTCCACCCAAGGGTCATGCATAAAAGCCCTGACTCTTGGTCAGAGTCATAGTAGACAGGCAGAGAACAAAAAGACATCATATGAAAATGAACAGGAACTGTGGTCTGGTCCTCAGAAGAGCAGAGGAGGAGAGGAGCTAAGGCTGAGCTCCCACACAGGCTCAATGCCATGAACACACACCCAACACAGATGCCCCATGCAGTCCATAGACACACTCAGCACAGAGACATAACCCAGCTTGATAGACTCAGCAGACACACACCAAGCTACATGGCATGGACCCGTCTCACCTCTCGTGTCCGCACATGCATAGTACGCACGGCAGTGCCACACTCCCAACAGCAGCACATAAAGCACAGCACACACTGAATGCATGCCCAGCCAAAGCCCAACACAGCCAGCAGAGCTTCTCCTCATCCACGCAGATAAGCCCAGAAACAGGCACAGTGCTTTCAGGGACCCACATGTGCACACATGCACATATGTGTCCCGGCATGCAGATACTGCTCCCCCTCCTCAGATAGTCCTGGGTTTACATTGCTTTTCTCCCCATTGCCTTTCCTGGTGTCTGTGTCTATCCCACGTGACTTTTCAAGACTTATCAGGCCAGAATCTGTCAGTCCTTAGTACTTCCCCACTCCTGATCTTCTCCTTCACCAGGGATTCATGTCCATTGACATCATACTCGCAACACATGCTCACACAAGTATACACACTGCTCAAGGTCATGGGGAAGCCCTGGGAAGCAATCTTAGCCCATAGGGCATTTCCCTGCTCCATGAGTCAGCCAGAAGGCAGAAGGTAGGGACTCCGCAGCATAATCGCCCACCGCAGGATGTGGATTCCAGGTTCCTTGTTCAGCCCCACCCCCACGTGCACCTGCTGCTTATTTGCAGTTTCAGAGCATACTGTGCTGTCCCCAAAATTCTAGCTCCCTCTGCCTAGAAGGCCCCCCTTCTCTAGCTGTCAGGTACTCTCAGAGTTTTCAGGAATCAGAGAATTTCATGGGCCAGTGAAAACTCAAGAGAAAGTTTGGGGAATGACAGGAGGTTACCAAGTTTTCATTTTGTTAGTAAGGATATTTAAAATAGAGCAACCATTCTCTATCCATGACCATTTGATAAAAAGGACAATTTAATACCAACAAAGTAGGAAGGGCATAATCTCAGGATAAAGAGTAATCCTTTATGTTGAACACATTTAGCTTTATGTAAAACCCACTGTGTTGTCCTTTTTCTCATTTCACCCCCTGAGCCAATGAAAACTTCGTCACAAATCAGTATTGGGGACCACCGTGTCCTTGGCTCACACTGCATCTCCTCCTGGAAGCCCATCTCACCCACTCAGGCCCTCGCCCGTGCTCCCCCAGCACTGGTCTCGTGTGTACTCTGCACATACACCCATGATCGTTATTGTTTCTCAAGGGCCCACCCAGTTAAGCACTGCCAGGTGCTTAACACGGATTATCCTATTTTATCCTCATAACCCTGAAAGGTGAACATTTACAGATGGGACACTGTTAAGTGGCTTCCCTGATCCTGAAACCCCTTGCTGGAGGGAGTAGTGGAAAGAATTACAAAGACAGGACCAGCTGCCAACATAGGTTTGCCCCTTCCTAGCTGTAGGATTTGGGCAAGTCACTTCACTAGTCTGAGTCTCCATGAACTAGAAACTATAACACCTACCTCACTATGTTCTGAGGAAGTACATAGCAATCTCCTGAGATGGTGCCTGGCACACAGAAGAGACTGGACAGCGTGAGTTACTTCGTCTCCCACATTTCCCAACCCCTGTGGCTTTCCTATACTACATTCTACTGATTGTCTTTCTAGCTGTCTTTCCATGGCTTCTGTGTTAAACCCTATTGCTTTCCTCCTCTTCAAAAGTGGGGTGAATCAGGAGAAAATCCTTGGTCCTATTCTATCTAGGCTCCCTCACCAGCTGAGCGCATCCCGTCTCATGACTCTCAACATCATCTATACACTGACTCCAAAATATAACTCTCCAGTCCTGATCTCTTCCCAGAATCCAAACCCACATAATGAACTTCCTACTGGACACCTCTCCATATGGCCTCAGGAGTCTCCATATAAATTTTTAAAAATACTATCAAACTGACACTTGATTCTTCTCACTCCAATCCATTCTTCTACCAGTTTTCCCAAATCAGTAAGTCACAACATCTTGCCCAGTTACTCAAGTCAAAATCACATTCCACTCTTCTCTTTCTCCCACCCATCATCTGCAATCAGCAAATTTCACCAGTTCATCTCCAAAAAATTAACGAAAACCCTTCATTTCTCTTCATCTCACCAATGTTACCTGAGTCTGAGCTTCCAACTTCTCTCATCTGGTTCACACCAACAACATCCTAACTGGTGTCTGCACGTACTTTTACTCCTTAAAAATACTACTTTTAAAGACCATTTTCAAATCAGGCAGTGCAAGACCTTCAGTTTTGTTCTTTTTACAAAATTGTGTTGGATATTTTAATGGCTTTTTGTATGTTTTGTTTAAATTTTAAAATGAACTTGTGATTTTTAACAACAAAAAAATTTACAGGGGTATTGATTGAGATCGCTCCAAATCTATCGATCAGTGTAGGCATACCAGATATCTTAACAATATTGAGTCTTCCAACCCAAGAACATATATATTGGTTTATTTATTGAGTCTTTGTTTCAACAGTGGTTTATAATTTTTATTTATTTTTTTTTTAATTTTTTATTGTGGGTTGTTCAAAACATTACAAATTTCTTGACATATCATATTCCACACTTTGATTCTAGTGGGTTATGAACTCCCACCTTCACCCCATACACAGATTGCAGATTCACATCAGTTACACATCCATTGATTTACAAATTGCCATACTAGTGTCTGTTGTGCTCCGCTGCCTTTCCCATCATCCACCCTCCCCCCTCCCCACCTCTCCCCTCCCCTCCCCTCCTCTCTCTCTACCCCCTCCACTGTATAACCCTGAGGGTCTCCTTCCATTACCGTGCAATTTACCTTCTCTCTCCCTTTCCCTCCCACCTCTCATCCCTGTTAAATGTTAATCTTCTTCTCCTGTTCTTCGTCCCTACTCTGTTCTTAGTTACTTTCCTTATATCAAAGAAGACATTTGGCATTTGTTTTTTAGGGATTGGCTAGCTTCACTTAGCATAATCTGCTCTAATGCCATCCATTTCCCTGTAAATTCTATGATTTTGTCATTTTTTAATGCAGAGTAATACTCCATTGTGTATAAA